TGAAGAATAGAACAAACCACTCTTACTGCAGCAGCAGCGAGCTAAACAAGATTCCACCAGATTCCAGCTGGCAAGAGTATGCATCACACTCGGAGGATACAAAAAGAAGGGCTGGGGCAGGCATTTGACTAGTGGTTAAGACACCGCTTAAGACACCCCTTCCCATTATGGAAGCATTTCGGATTTGATGCCAAGATCCTGCTTCCGATGCCAGCTTCCTGCCAGCGCAGACACAGAGAGGCACAGGAGCTGATTTCTGCCACCCACATGGAGCTTGGGTCAAGTTCTCAGCTCCCGGCTTCTGTCAGATTGGGTTCTGGCAGCTGGGAACATTCATTTTTCTCTCACTCATCTCTTTCTCTCTCTCTTTCTTTCTCTCTGTGTCTATTTCTCTGACTCTCAAAAAAAGAAAGAAAAAAAAAAAGAAAAGAGAAAGGGCAAAGTAGCAAGATTAGGACTGGAAAAGAGAGAATTTATTTTATATAATGTTCCTCAACTTGCCCTGAATGATGTGGTACACATATCTGCTGATCAGCAAACTCCTATGGCATATTAAACCAAGAATGATTTTCATCCTGGCAAACAAGATAAAGTTTTCTGCTTAATAAAACATGAAAGTTGTACACTGTACTTAATCCAAGCACATAAATGCATTTAGACATTCATTAGTGAGCTAATGTCTTCATATCTTTGCAGGTATGTTTATGTCTTTATTTCTGTTCAATTCCTCTGAAAATTTCAACCATTAAGTCTTATCTTTGATTCTGTCTCCAGCAGATACCATCAGAATACTGAGAGAACTCCCCAAGTCTGAGGGGAAACAGAAGGAAGAAATGAGAGTTTTGTTTTAGGTCATACAGTTGAGAAACACAGCCTGTAATGGAAGGCCTATGTAAAACACAGAAATGGTATCAGAATTACCATGGATACAGTTTCTTTTCAAGGAGCTAACTCACTACAACAAGCAAGTTTAGAATGGAAACCCAAGTCCATCTAGCAGGGCCTGTGATCAATGAAGTCAGGCCAAGATCACGTTCTGTCAGCTGAGAACTAATTTCCAGCTTGACATGATTTCAGTTTGTTGCCATTTATGAAATGGGAACTCTCCACTCTTTTTTTTTTTTTTACTTGACAGTCTTCCTTATCTATATTTGGTGTAAATCAAAACTTAGCTAATTAAACTTCACTTAAATATTTTAGATTTAATGCATTTTTTTTAATGATACAGTTCCATAGGTTCTGGGATTTCCCATTGCCTCCCCTCCACACATACTGATTTCCCCTCGAGTACTGCAATGGGTAGTCCTTCATAAACAGTCTCAAGTCCATCATTCCACTATTGAAGTATTTCCCAACACTGTAGGCATGAACAATGTCAGAGTCCAGCATTCTACTGTCAGGATATATTCAACAGTTTCACTGGGAATCTATCTTGTCCACTCTCAGAAAGGATGATCCAACTCTATGCTCCATAGTGGACACCCAATTCCACCCATTCTCATGAGATTCCTCCATTATGCAAACCGATCACATGCTCCAAAGAATTAAGACGAGAAACTTTACATCCAAACTTGTCATGTTCACCTCTTCCAGCGTAAATTTTCACCAGACATGAGGCACCCTAAGGATCCGAGGAAGGTCCTATCCAACAGCAATTTTACCTCCCAAGGCTTTCACTTTGTGTAGTAAATGAAGGACTTCGTGTAATACACAAAGGGTTCAAAAGTGAGTGTTTTTCGACGTTTGCAAGCCTGCATAGGAGTTGCTGCTGGGCCACAGGCAATGAACGAGATAAATGCGCCAAGTGGGCAGCGAGCTCCAGCAGAAGAGAGAGGGAATGGAGAGTGGAACTGAATGGGAGCCATTCACCCTCTATGACTTGAGAGACTCCTCCAGAAACCTTTAACAATGCACAGAAGTGATGGCTTTTATCACCATGTGCGGTAGACAGGCTGTTTCCCCTTGGCTTAGTGCTCTCACACAGAGTGAACACAGGGGCCCAGAGAGGCACAGGGAGGCCCAGGGAGGCCCAAGGGGAACCAGGGAGGCCAAGGAAAGCCCAGGGAGGCCCAGGGAGACCCAGCAGTTCTACAGCCACAGTCAGTAGTGGGAGCCTATTCCCACTCTGCAACGGCTACTTCTACTTAGAAAAAACTTCCTCACACAAAGCAAAAATATCAGAATTGCTTCTGTGCATGACACTAAATGTTTTCTTTGTATTAACACCATGTTAACATGACGACTGAGGAGAACTGTGTTGCAGTAATCATCATGTATTTGTTGTAATCCTGAGAATCAAATGGATTCCAAAGTTCCTTAGATTAAAAAAAAAACACAAAAGAAAACACTCTACTGGCATTATTGAAGAGCAACATTTATCTTAAAATATCTGTGTTCCATTTGAACTTCAAAAAGATATACCAAGTAGGGACTGGCATTGTGGTATAGCAAATTAAACCAACACCTGCAAGTGCCAGTATCCCACATGGGCACTGATCTAAGTCCGAGCTGCTCATTTCTGACCTAGCTCCCTGTTAATGTGCCTGGAAAACAGCAGAAGTTGACCCAAGTGGCTGGGACCCTGCACTCATGTGGGAGACCGAGATGGGGTTCCGGGATCTGGGCTGTGGCCTGGCTCGCCCTTTTGTAACTTTCCCTGACACACAGAGAGAGGGAGAGATAGATAAATAGACGACAGACAGACAGGTGGGCCAATCCATCCATGCCCAGCACCACTGCAGCTCAGTCCATTTGCAAACACAGCACTGCTCGTGCTAGAGATCTCTATTCCTCATGGGTAAGGGAGTGCCCACTCTGCCCCATTCCCCACCCTGCCCAGCCCCAGGGCACGAGGTCCTGGGAGGCACTACTCCTATCTCTGCTGTGGCTCTGAGAGGAGGCAAAATCCCAGGGAAAGGTTTTCACATCATACAGAGAATTGGAGAAACTTCATCTCAAGGTTTACTGGAGAACTAATTTTGTGTTCCCTGGCTGGGCCACACACCTAGGTATTTTCTCTAACGCTATGCTAGGTGTTGCTCTTACTATATGACTAGATGAGAGAAGACTAAACCTGGCACAAGTGGAGAAAAGCAGATTAGCCAGTGTGGTGTGGCTGGGCCGCACCTGCACACACACTACCTCCTTCCCTCCCTGCTTCCATCCCTCCGCTGCTCCTCTGGGGAACCTAACACTGACATGAGGATGACTCAACCCCCCATTTCCTCTGATTGTTTCACAGCAGAAAAGAGGCATTTGGCAAAATAACAATTGCTTGGGAAATCACATCATTAAGAAACCTAGGTGAAAAAGAACCATCAACACCCTTCTGATGCTGACTGATTTTCCCATTGTCTCCTTTCATTGATAAGGTATGATATGAGCCTCTTGCAAGTTCTGGGCCAGGCACTGGTGCAGCAGAAACAGGGGCACGTGGGTAGAATGTGGGCTTAGGTCCCTACTGGGTGTGTAGACACCTACCACACACAGTGTTACATCTTGGTGTACAAGTGGCATGGGAAGACCACGTTTCAGAGATGTGAAGCATACAGCACACAACCTAGAAATACTAATGTTCACTAAAGTTTAGCTGGGGTCTGATGTTGTTGATGAACACGGGCACTGAATGCAGACCTCACACAACTGGGACACATCCAGAGAAATGCATCGTTGGGTGATGGCTTCGCTGTGCACTCAGAGTGCCCTCACACACTGGGGCCTCATAGTAGGGATCAACATGGTCCAGGCCAGCTGGTGTAACCCACAGCATCACTGAACAATGTTTTAGAGACCGCGCAGGTGACTGTGTAGGCGGCGGCAGAAGAGTTGATTCAGTCCCAAAGCTTTCCAGGCAAAACAGGGTGCTGAGGAGCAGGTGCGCCAGTGCCAAGCAGAGTGAGGCAGCGCCAGCCAGGCCACTGGGTCAGAGACCTGCGTCGGGACCCCGAGGCCTGAGAAGCCTTTTAAAGAGCTTCCTAGTGCAACGACAGGGACGTGGACAGAATGGAAATGTCAGGAAAGAAAAGACTGCCCATGTGTTGTCCAACCCCTCCCATATGTATGGGCATACATACATTTTGGCTAAGTAATCATTTTGACATCTAAACAGCTGAATTTCCATAATTAGAAAGCAGTAATACAAACTCAGAAGACATTTGAAAAATATAAATGGTGGGAGTCCTGGATGCATCGGCAGGCAGTCAGGGGTGTGACACTCTGTGCACGGAGGCAGAATTTTAATCGACAACATTCTGAATGGCTTGCATTGTGCTTCTCACACACAGTAAGACAGGAAGCTTATTCCATTACCTTAAGCACACAGCAGTAAAGGATATGCCATCTTTTAAAAGCATGCTCTAGCATGACCTATAACACACTGTTAAAAAGAATTAACCTGTTATACAATTATTCCTACATTAATCTATCCATTTTGCTCACTTGCATTGCCTAATTTTCCAACTCCAAATTGCTTACACACAGGGCAAAGGGCATTTTTGCAACCCAGGCAAGGAAATCTAGAAAGAAAATGTATCGTGAGTGGAATCCACTTTCATTCAAAGTATACAAAATTCTCTAGGCAGACATTTGCTTCAATACCAAAGAAAAGCTAACAGCATCTTGAAATTGGGTCAAGAAAAGCTTTGCAGAGCAAGTATTGTGGCTTGTAAGGTTAAGCCACTGTCTAGAACATCAGCATTCATTATGGGCATCAATTCGAAACCTTGATGTTCCACTTCCAATTCAGCTCCCTGCAAATGCACTTCAGAAGGCAACAGAAAAGGCCCAAGAGTTTGGGTCCCTGCACTCATGTGGGAGACTTTAAAGAAGTTCCAGCCTCCTGGCTTTGGTCAGCCCACTCCCAGCTGTTTTGGACAGTTGCAAAGTGAACCAGTGGATGGAAGATCTCTCATTCTCTCCACCTGTCTCTCCTTTTCTCCCTCTGTAACTTTGCTTTCAAAAAGAAAAAAAGAAAAATCTTTGCTGTCTGCAATGGCACCAACCTGGATCACAGAGGCATTTGTAGCTGGTACCCACACTGCGGCAGGTGCCGTGAGCACAGGGGTTGAGAGCGCAGAAGTCGACAAGCTGGGCACAGGTGGGGCCCGTGAAACCTGGGCTGCAGCTGCAGGTGAAGTGCACGCCATCCACATAGCAGGTGCCGTTGTTCTGGCATGGGGACGAAGCGCACGGGTCCACCTTTTCCTCACAAGCAGATCCGAAGTAGCCTGTGAGAAAATGCACATCGTAATGAACAAACAGGGTCTGCACACTTACAGTATTCCACATGGGGCACTGATCAATTTGACCAAGTCAGAAAAGTCAGTATTAGTAGCACCCCTGAGTGAAACTGCTACGCTCTGTGACTTCATTTCTGAGATGTAACGTAAGACTGCTGAGATGGTGCAAACACACAGATTGCACAGTAGTATAGCTGAATACACATGTGTGCATGTGCACATTGACTGCAGAACGCCACAGAATCAGTGCTGAGTACCCCAAGGGGCTGGAATTTGCATCAGCAAAGGGCTTCCTCCTTCCTCTTAGTATAATTCTGGGGAAGCATATCCCTTACCTGCTTTAATACATAATATACTATGTCAAATTGAAAAAATATAAAATATAAAATTATAAGCAATGAAATAAACCTCTCCCACCCTTTTCCTGAGTGTATGTTTTTAAATAATAAAAAGTTATTATAAAGGCTAAGCAGTAATGGCACAGAGGCTTATGTTGCGGCATAACAGGTAAAGCCACAAGCTGCAATGCTGGCATCCCATATGGTTCCCTGTTAATGGTCTGGGAAAGGCAGCAAAAAAGATGGCCCAAACACTTGGGCCCCTGCCAACCACATGGAAAACCTGGAGGAAGCTCCTGGCTCCTGGTTTTGTTTGGTGCAGCTCTCTCCAGCTCTGACTTTCAATGTAAGAAAATAGTCCTTAAGGAAAAGAAGAGAGAGAGAGGACAGAGGACAGAAAAACTGATCTACTACCCCAGCTGACCATTGGCAGTGAAGATCTGGGCAGACGGAGACACTAAGGTGGACTATATCAGCCAGTGGATTTGGGAGAAATTTCATTGTGATTGGAACGGCGGGATCACCAGCAATTCAGGACTGTTGAACTATCAAAACCTCTTGAGAAATTTATGGTGTCGTAAATTTCTATTTTTCTTCCTGTTTTTGATTTTATATTGTAGCTTTTCATTTTTAGAGAGATGTGTGGTGAGTGTGTAATGGAGACTATCATGTCCAGATGTGAGGATACAGTGCAGTGTGCATCTCTACTTCCAGATCAAAGATGGACTCCCAATGAAACCATGAGTTGTATCCTGACAATAGGAAGATGGACTCTCTTGTCATTGTCCATGCCCGCAATGATGAACATGTGACTGTTAATGAAAAAGTTAAAATAAAATTAAAAAAAAAAACTTTATAAAACTGGATTGTGAAATGTTAAAATAATAAAATAAAAAATGTATAATCTCAAACTTAAAAAAGAAAGAAAAAAGGCAGCACAGTCATACGATGGATATCAGATGGCAACAGGAAGATAGTGAGGATAGACACCTGCTCCTCAAAGTGCCATGCTGGGTGAAGGAAGAAGCGTTCAGAGAAAGCTCATCACTGACACAGGCACTGGGGTAACCTCTGCTGGGGGAAGATGGGTTGGCAGCAAACAGATTCATGAAAATTTCCCATGTGGGATTGTGGCCGTGACTGCACAGCTCTGAAAACTTACTAAAAAGTGCTAACTGTACTCTTCAAATAAATGAATTCTATCATATGTGAAATGTTGCAAAACCGTCAAGTTTCTAAAACTTCAGGTGTGGTGATTGAAGAGTGATTTTTATAATGACCTCGTGTGTGGTTAGGTGTTTCCTAAGTTTTACGGGTCTCCAGACCCATCAATGTTTGTGCTTCCTTAATGATGTGTATCAATACAGCTATGGATCAGGCCTATATGTCTTTTAAAAGAAATCTAAGAAACGAAATTAAGATTATTCAAACTTTAGGGATAAGGTTAACTAATTTTACAGACACACAGTATATATTTTACTATTATATTTCACTTTCCTTATCTACATTTAAGTTTCTATTTATCCATCTTCACACAGGACTCCTAGTAATACGACAGTGTTTACTGCTATTGTTAAGGATCTAATGAATAGATGAAGCAGACTACCAGATTTATGAATGAATGGATATAGGAAAATCAACTCCCAGATTTAATTCTTTGAGTTGCCACTTCACAAATTGGCACAGTCAACTTGGCATATAAGTAAGTATATGTATGTGGGTATAAATATGGAGAGAAAAAGAAATACAAAGCTATTCATCATTCATGAATTTCCTGGTAGATTTCAATCTTAGAATCATACTGAAAATATGTCATACAATCAGTTTTAGCAACATTTACATTGTTCAGTCTTGCCTAGCAGCTGAGGTGACAACAGCTCCATTCTCATTTTTACTCAGATGTATTCCATTTTACTCAGGTTGACAAGAAGATACTAAAACATTTATCAACATAAGCCAGCACTGTGTGCCATCAGCACCACTGAATATGCTATTTTCAAAATAGATTCAAAACTCTTCATTTTAGAACAAACTAAAAACATTCTTCTCTGGGTCTAGCAAATGAAACACAGCCATCGGAAACAAGAATGGTCCCTTTAATTTGCTCACTGCAAATATAGTGTCGTTGGGTATGACACTAAAAGTAATTAAATGTTTTTCTCTTAAGCTGAAGAAGTAAATTTGAGAAAGGCATTGACCAGGTCACCCCACAGCTTATATTCAATAAGAGAAATTGTGTGATGCAAAAAAAAAAAAACCGAAAAGGAGCTCTAATTAATCCTGCAGTCCTACTGGTATTTTTCCCCCCTCAGGAATTCAGATTCATGATAATCATCCATGCCAAAGCAAGGTATGAAATTATCTGAAACAATAGTTCATGATGAATAACAAGATTAAAAATTTTAAGGCTCAAAAAGCTAAACTCAAATTTGAGAGAACACGTGGATTCTTTTTTTCTCCTCCAGTAGAGCAATAAAATGGTCACACGAGGTCAGAGGAAGAACACAGAAAAGCTAATTCATCAAAGGAAAGGAGTGCCTGAAAACCCTCTAAGATTAAACTGTGAACTTCATTGAATGAATATTTATAAAAATCAAAGACCAGAAAATTTAGAAATAAGAAACATACTTATTTGAGCATAAAAATGAATAAAGATACTTGAAACTTTTAGAACACAGCAGAAGAGTTCTCCATGCCAATAGTTTGACCTTTTCCAGCCTCTGGGACCATGAGGAGTCAGTTTCTGTTGGTTAAGCCCCCAACTCTGCGATATTTTGTTATGACAATCCAGCAAAACTTATATAACAAGGGGTAATATGAGAAGGGAAGCAAGACCTAAGATCTTTGGGTTTTATGATTGTGGCAGTCTCTCTCGCCCTCCTTCTCCCTCTCTCGCTCTCTCTTTCTCTCACCTTCCATATTTTCACATGGAAAGAGGGCTGACATTATCTTCATAAAGACATGGTGGTTTCTAAAAAGACATGTATCAAATATCCTAGAACAGTTCCCAGGCTAAATGAATGACTGAATGGAGTAAAAACTGTAAAGATTGGAGCAATAGCTAATACTTAGTGGGTGATAATATGTGGCTTTATGTGAATTATTTCCATTACCTCAGTGGAGTGGAAGACCTATTAGTATCCCTACTTTACAGACAAGTAAAGAACAGTACAACCATGTGAAATGACCTGTTTAAGTTTACACAGTCAGGGCCTGGTGCCGTGGCACAGCAGGTTCACCTGCCTCTTGCAATGCCAGCTTCCTACATGGACATCAACTGCTCCACCACAAACCCAGCACCTTGCTAATGTTCCTGAGAATAGCATAAGACAGCCCAAGCTCTCCCACCTGATAAACCTGGACAGAGTTCCAGATTCCTGTCTTTAGGGTGGCCCATTAAGAGCCATTGCAGCCATCCAGAGGATGAACCAGCAGATGGTCGATGTCTGTGTTTTTCTCCCTCTCTCCATCTGTCTTTCAAATAAATAAAAATATTTTAACTCTACATAGTTAATAGATAACAAAACTTGGATACACAGCCAAGGCTGTCTGCTATTATTGCTCTGATGAACCAGTTAGGACAATACTCTGATATGTAAGCCTGCTTTTCTCTTCTGTATCTGTTCTTAGTGAGAGCAGAAACAGGAGACTTATTGATCAGGTCAAAATAAAATAAAAAATGAGTTTCAGAAAGTAATGACTCTAGTTTCATGTTTGTATTTGCAGTTGCACGTGTTCATATAATTTACATAGACTATACCAAGGAGAAGGGAAAGTGCAAAAGGACGAATAAAAGGTCAAGACTTGGGGAAGAGCCAATATTTAATATGGACAAGAGAAGCATGAAAAATGAACCAACACCGGAGGCCAGATCACAAATGGACACAAATAGTCTTATAATCATGCTAAGGAGTCTGTATTTCACTCTGACACTGGACTTCATCTACACAAATTTTTTTAAAAATATATTCCTGCAGCCGGGCCATCTGCAGGCTGAATCAGAGGCGATGAAGACTAGAATAGGATGCCAGGTGATCAGCAGAGCATCTGAGGTGAGAGGTCGTGACGACCAGTTGGTAGGACTGGCATAACAAAAAGAACCAGATAGGAGAACGATTTTACACACAACAATGCCAATACAAGGACCTGCGACCAACGGAAGAGAAGATGGAGCCCAGGGACACAACAGAACAGGAGTCAAAACCCAAATTCCATCAGCAGTCAAGTGGGCAGTGTTGCTCAGGAGTGTAACCCAGGTGTAACACAACACGTGTGACAGGGCCTCGGGCAAGCTAGAGAAAGAATTCCCAGCTGAGAGGTATGACTGCCATCAATCTATAACTTTTAGAAATACGGTATTGATTACCAGTTGTTCTAAATTTTCAACAGAAGTCTGCAAGACAGATTATAACTGAACCTTTTCTACTCTAAAGTATTGGCAAATCATGTCTCAAATAAAATACATCTATGGGCCACATACATGTGATTTTTCGGGGTGATTTCATGTCCTATAGCACGGACTTTGGATGTGAAGGAGCTTCACCCTAAGCATCACCTCCGTTCATTAACTGCTGAAAATGCCCTGACCACTGCTTCTGTATTTCTGGGATGGAGATTTTAACATCTGTAATTTATATTTCTTATGAAGCT